ATATGAAACACACACGCACACATTAAAAAGTGTTCTAAACGAGCAAGGTTGGGAAACGGTTCAAAGTGAAAGGGGATGAGGCTAGTAATCCACTGAGTGCCTGTAATGTAATGAATCAGCCCCACTTAGTGAAGTCCATTTGAGGAGGAACGCTCTATAGAAAGTAAGTGGGGAGGTGGTTCTGCTGGTCTACTGGCATATTGGAAGGAAAGTGTGTTATGGAAATGAAACTTTGTGAATGTACAAACATTGGTAACTACAGAATTACCAGACCAGATAAACAAGGACTCACATTTCAATGTGACTACAACTTTCTGCAGTTGCTAACTGTAATGATCTACTGCATCAAATGCATTATAGTAAAGCCCAAATATGTATGTATTCAGGTATGTATGTATTTATTTATTTATTTATCTGAAACAAAGCTGGTGTAAATGTTTTCAGAGGGGCTCAGAATGCTCTAATCCTTTGCTCACATACAACACACACCCCACCTACCCACCCACACACACACACACACACACACACACACACACACACGCTCAAACACGCTGTTTTTCTTTTTTTTTTCTTCTCAGCCTGCACTTATCTGGATTTCTGAAACAAATTTTTCACGAATGATGAATATTTTTTACATGCATATTGGAGACAAAGTTATTGACCTGGTCATTCAAAACCGTCTTTTTTATATTATTATTATAATTTTAATCTGCATTGGTAGCAATACAGTTTACATAATGCATTATGATTTGAGGTGTCATACCGTTAGTTTTTTCACAGTCAGTCATTTTTTAGGACTTTTCTTCTTCTTCTTCTTTTTCTTCGTCTTATTATTATTATTATTATTATTATTATTATTATTATTATTAATAATAATAATAATAATAATAATAATAATAATAATATGTTCTTAAGATCTGGTTCCCATCACTGGAACAAGTTAAAAATAAAACATCAAGAATCTGAATGAAAGTACAGTTGTGACACTTGCTCTGCTTCCAGCACCTCAGAGAGAGGGGTTGTATTATTCATGTCTTCCGTGTTGTTGAGGTATCATGTAGCTGAAGTTGTGTGTTTCTTATTTCCTCTGTGTACAGATCTGATGATCTTTTGCTCTGTCAGGCTGGGGTGTTTAATCCAGGTCAGCTGCCATCCTAAGCTGCTGTTTTCATGGCTTGTTAGAAAACTCTTAATTGGTGAATAAGTGTGTGAGCTAAAGTTAGGGAGACAGTGTTGCAAGAGTCTCATCTGTTTGTCTGGCACTATGTTAAGGTTTGTGGGGGGAACACAAGACCAGACACATGGCCAAATGTGATGAGTGCTTCTGGCTCTGACACAATTGACATGGCACTAGAGAGATCACAGACCCTATGTTCTCCAGCTATGTTTTCCCAAAGGCTGAGCACAAAACCACCCAGCTTTTTGTCTTATATAGATATGTGTCTATCACTACAAATCCAGAGCTTCTTATTCTTGTAACAGTCAATAAGCAATTCATTACAACTTGCGGGTTTGGAACGTACTATGATTTAGCTTAAGATGCTTCTTACATCTATAAACATCAGTTGTTGTAGAACACGTTTCAAAGAGTCTTTGTAGCCAGTAGGTTTTGGTCAAGTGCAGGCTCAGGTGGTCACCATGTGAGAATGATTACAAAGAGGTAGCAGTGAGCTTTCAAATTAACTGAGTTATAGGCTTTGAGTCACACAGGCACAATGAAATGTAGTGTAAAAAATTACATGCTTCAGAAAATTTAACATTTAAAAGTATGTAATATTAACTCAAAAATTAAACAGCTGTGGCTGTTGTGACTTGTGTTCATAAAAGCTACCCTGTTTTAAATGTTTGAAGTGCCAGAAAAGATTTATTCTTACATTGGCTGAAGGTCCAATAACATAAGCAGGTCATATCCAGGATTAATAAAAGGAGAAAAATTTCAGTTGACAGATATAATTTCATTTTCTGTTTTGTGATACAGATAAATAAGAATTTGTTTTGAAGCTATATGGCTAATTATTTTTCTCTCTTTTTTCTCTGTTCTTCCATTCTCTTTCCTTTGTTTCTTCCACTCTCCTGTAATCATTCCATATGTCTTCTACCTCCATTACCCCTTCTGTTCTTACCAAACAGGTCCCTCATCAAATGGGTGCACTGACCTTCTACCGTTATGAACAGCCTATTGTAGACTACTGCCAGGCCCATCAACCCTTGCGGCTAAACATGGGTTATGAGGGACCCCCACAGGGCCTGGAGGGCCTGGAGGACCTTGGGCCATGTGATAGAGGCACTATACAGACAGTGGCACTGCCAGCAGTGCCCTCTGCTGCCAGCATGGGTGCCCCTGTTCCAGGACCTCGCTCTCCTCCATCGACCCTCAGACCACCAACTGAGGGTCCCGGCAGCAGTCCTTTTCCTACTTCTGAGCGCACTGGCACACTCAAATTTGGACGCTAGTGAGCATGGTTAGAAGTGGGGCAAGGGCCTCTCATTCACCATGACTTTGAAATGAAGGGGCAGGCGAGCTGGTTATTCAGTGGGGCCTTGTTCTTAGAACATCGGTATGTGAACTAGAGGACAAAATTTTCAAATTATGCCTGGAGGCATTTATCATCTGAAACACACAGTCTCAACCATATACAGTTGGGTGAGACATTCTTGCTGATCATTTTGTTTTTCTTTTCCAAAACAACTCATAGAAAAAAAAGGGTCCCTGACTCAAGGGAGGTTAATTCAGCATATGCCACAAAGAATTACCTTATTTCCAAATCTGATCTTTGTCATATCCCATATCAGCATCATGGGGCATCTGTTCACAGCAGCAGCAGCCAGCTTACTCTGAGTCAGGAGTGAAAGGGAAAGTGCAATAAACACAAGTTTTCATTCACGACAAGTGAGGGCAGTAACATCAAAGATCGAAGAGATAGAGCATATGAAGAGCAGAAGGCTTCTTACTGTGATTAACATTACAATTTCTACTCACTAGCTATTAAAAAAGTTAACATATATAATTTCATTAATTACATAAATATTTTGTTTCTTTGAGTGTCATATTTTGTACTGAATTACATTAATGTGCATGTTAAACCAAAGAGTTTACTAATATTTTTTCTTTCTTTTTGCACATAAGGTACTTTAACTAAGGAGCTTTTTAAATGTCAGATGTTCCACTGAACTAGCCTCTGCCAGTTCACATTTATAATTACCACTAGATCCCCTGATGATTTCGAATGGACTAGAATTGTCTTAAAGAAATAGAATAATCAACGGGGTCATCATGTTGAAAGGTTATGAACGTATTTATCATAATGAGGTATCACACCTGGCACTCCCAACGTAAGCTCAAGTCAGTTCTTGTGATCTTAGTGTTATTATGAAAAACATAATTCAAAGCAGCATAAACTGTATGTTCCATAAATGTATTAAATATATAAAGACCCTTTACACAGATGAACAACAAGTCATTGTACCGTATATGACTATATCCCAGCTGAATAACCCACTATGCTTTAAAAAAAAAGGCAATCATGGAAAAACTAAAATAAGAACATTTGAATGAAATGTATTGTACATATTATTGAAAAGGTCTACTTCACTGAAGGTCAAACCACTCTCACTGCCCCAAACAGTCATTTGAAACATTGTTGAGTCAATGTTTGACTTTCATTAACTGGACTACTTGAAGAGCACCATCTTGCTGGGTTGGCCAGGCTTAGGCCATGTGCTCTTCCACCACAGAGAATAATGGTGCCTAGTGGTGGCATGCTGAACCAGCACGTTGACTTCTCTTTGACCTGCATATGATCCCACAGACTATACAGGAGGTTTTGCCTGACATCTCAATTTTTTCCAGAAAGTGAGCCGAAATTAAGGAATGTTTTCTCTTTTTTTCTTTGTTTTTTCTTTTTCCTAATCAGTAAACCATTGGCCACCATGTTGAGCACTGCTGCTCGTTGACTTATGGAGCTGTTGAGGATTTCGGATACAGCTTGCATGGCCTGTCAAACAATGTCCTCAGTTTAACTCAAGCAGTGCACCAGTTTCCTACATGTCAGTGGTCATACTCTAGGGAGCTGTGGAACTTACGCTTGCTCTTCCTACAGAGAGACTGATTGATCCACACATGAAACTGCAAGGGGCCAACATTTCCCAAGAAAGATGATGCATATTCAAACAAATATGCATTGTTTTTGTTTTATTTCGTTTTGGTATTATATTTTTTTGCTTGAAAATTTTTGAGGTGTTCAAAGATGATGTCAAGAAATTCTATAAGATGAATAAAAGGACAAAATCAAATAGAACTTATTTATGATGTAAATAATGAGTCTTTAAAGATTTAAAAAAAAGGTATGAACTTAATTTCTTCTGAAACACAAACTGCTTGTGAACAGAAGAGGAGCCTTATTCACTTTCCAGTGGGAATATATTACTAAGATGACTTGGTGAGGAGGTTCCTACTGTAATGCTCTCGTTGTTTCAATGATAAGTATTTTTCTATCTGCTCCCGTCACTATTCTACCACTCTACCATTAAAAACAAAATATGTTACTGACATTATTTCTCAAATCCAGTCATTTTACTCAATAACGCGAAGAGGGGAAGATTCTGAGCCCTGTTATTGTGATGTACTTCAAGCGCCAAACTTGACAGAGATTCATATTTCCTGTTCTGCCATCAGGCATGTTGGAGAAGCCATCTCACAGGTGGTAATTAAATAACGTGTTGTTCGTTACATCCATTCCTCTTGTTCAAGAATTTTAACACTATCAGCCATTTCAAGGTCTACTCGGGGAGAAGTGTGCTTTTCTTTATACCAAGAGTTTAACTTGTGAAGGATGTTCTTTATAATGTGCCATTATTTTGTTAAATGTTTTATCAAAAAACAAAACAAAACAAAAAAAAAACAACTGACCCGAAATGCTTCATGATATCACAACTAAGAAGGGTTCGGTCCCTTCATGTACAGGACATTGCATTTAAAAAAAAGCAGTTGATTCGCTCAGTACGGTTGCTTAATAGTGATGGTGGAGTTTACTTTGTAATAGCAGCTGTGCCAATGTCTTTATAATGGGAGCTCTCTCAATTCTATCCATGTATTGTCCTGCCTTGCTGTATATCACCCCTGATAACTCCTTGGCCTGAATTTCATGTCTGCTGCTTGGTGACTCGGGTGAACCTGTTTAACAATGTTCTATTTCTGTCTGCATGCTGATATTTTAGGAAACTGTGCCCATTTAGGGAGGAGCACTGAACCAGAGACAAACAGTACGGGAGATAATTCCTGTCCGGAGTGCCCTAGAACCGGCAGCACATGTCATGGACAACTTCACTGTTTTTAAAGCATCTTGTTTGCTGACCCATTCATGCCCTTGTCTCGATTAAAGTATAATTCCCTGGCACTGTAGGCTGTTAAATAGAGAAATAGGTTTGTGTCGAGCACTCACACCTGGGACAGGCATTCCCTTTAATAGTTTCCTGTTAAGCCTAGTACCCTACGCATACTAATTAATGCAGGTTTCAGAACAGTGATTATAGTTGATTTCAGTCTGAACATAAAGATCAAAGCTTCTTTGCCCTCATGTGTAATTAGAAAATGCAAATACCATCTTTGTATATCCACAATTAAATCAGCTACTAATAAATGATCAATTGATCATGACTACCTCCCAGATAAAATCAGATATGTTCAGCGGAATGTTTGAATTCTGCTGCCAGTAATTATTCAGTCTTTTGTCCATTTATTTTGCCATCAGAGAGCTGGAAGCACAAGCAGTGCATGCTAATGATGCATGTTTGAGCTGAACTCCAGGACCGTCTGTGCTAGCCCCGCAATGCCAGTAGGCTTTGTTTTCTCTTCTGCTTCGTTTGTTTATGGGTTTATACTACCCGAGTTCCCCAGTCCCTGTCACTCTTTGTGTTCGGGCTCAACTCCCCATTGGGAAAAGTTTTTTTTTCTTTTTTTCAAATTTCGCCTTTTTTTCTTCTTGCTTTGGGTGGGGTGAATAAAGGTCTGAAGAACTGCAGTAAAAAACTTTTATATTTCAGTGTTTATGCTTAGAGGAAAAGCTAAATGCACATCTCCAAGGGGACAGGAAAAGCAGGGGAGAAGAGAAGGGTAGACAGAGATACTGTTTAATAGGGAGAACATAGAGGGACAAATGGGTAAGTGCGAGGACATTTTATTCTGTTACAAGGAAAGCGTTGTGATATATTTTGAATGCTCCAGGGCAGCTTTGTTTCCACTGCAAGAAATGACACAAACAGCTTCAGCCATGCTCTCACACTTGCAACACACATCCAGTCTGTACTCTGTAGAGGCACATATGGCACACAGATTAAGCTACGACATATTTGCATCCTCTGAACTGTATGTATTATGCATGCGCTCATACAAAGATGCACTTTATCTGAACAGGAATTATCATTTACACTATTATCAGTAATCCACTTCTTAGTCTTTGCTGGAGAAACAATCACAGACGGAGATGTACAAACACATAAAAAGACACATGTGCTTAATAAAAGGATAATATAGGTACAGCAGGGTTTGACACCCCATTCCAGTTCATCAAACGGTACAGTGGACTCTAATCCATTATCTGATAAATGGATTTGAAAATTTAATTCCAAGCCAGACATGGCTTTGTAGCTTTCCTTCCTCTGCCATATATTTGTGTCTTTCTAGTAAGCAGCACTGGGACGTTCCCATATAGCACACACTCACTCCAAAAACAAAAATAGGATAAAAACAAAAAAATTAAAATAAAGAAAGAAAAAAAAAGACAAATGGTAATATTCCTCATTTGCAATTTCTAGATTTGCGTTCCTGTTATTGTTACTCTGTCATTAGTATTTATACAGAATCAATAACTTCTGTGATGCAAAAGAGAGACTGGAAGTGTTGCTAGCGATTTAGCTTCCCCGCATGTACCCAGAGGGCCTCTGTGTGTGCACGTGTGTGTGTGGGTTTGTGTATCTATAGCAGCACCTACTCCTCTACCTCCTCTGAACCAGCATTACCATTACTGATGTTCAGGCCAGCCCGGTCCCCATTGATTGTTATTGTTCCATTCTCTTTTACATTAGCAAGAAGTCTTTAACCTATGACCTACATTGTCCTAACTCTGTTTTTCTACCATTGCTCATGTCAGCGGGGACACAGAAAAGGAAGACATGATCATTAACCTCTGTTGGGGAAACACACTTTTTCGTTTGTCTGACAAAGCCCGTTTACACCCCTAATTGGATTTAATGTTGGCACTGCAGAGAGCATGTTTTTTATTTAAATGTGCTGCATTCTTCGCTTTCAGTTAACAGTGCAATGAGAAAGCAAGAAGGAGGAGCTCGAAAGAAAGCAATATCATAATTAGTCTTTGTGTTCCTTGCAGGCCCAAGTCCTTTCCCATGTTTTTTTGTTGCCTCTTAAAATACTCTCCATGTAAATCTTTTCATTCCCACTGTCTCCCCCTCATTCATATCCTGCAGACAGCTTCAACTTCTGTAGGTTGTAAATATGCTCTGCATTGTTTTCTTTGGTAGTTGGTTTGTTGTTGATTTTTTTCCTTTTTCTTTTTTTTCTTTTTAATTTCCTTTTTTAATGTAATCAGACCTAAAGCATTTTTGTGGAGACCTGGTCCAAGCGCAAAAATATGGCTCTTATTTGAGTATATTATTGTCAGATAATGTTTTGTAAAAATTTTGATGATGAATAAACATCTAAAGATGGAAACTGTGTTGTCCTTTTTATAATTCAATTGTAGCTTGTAGTTAATAGATTACTTTACCCGTCTTACCTATTAGCAAGAGTTCACCAGTTATGGCCAGTGCTAGTCAGCCTGCAGAGACAGAACAATGGTATAACATTTTCTTTTGAAAGAAGTTTTAAATTTCGGGCCTTCAAGAGGAGCAAAACGGAGAGCCTTGCGTGGCTGGCGTCTGTACTTGGAACCTTTACAATTGCAGTTTTTGATGTAAATTGTTGATAATATCCACTGGAAACACTGATGGCAAAATAAAAAGTTCTCATCGATTCAGGTATGTTTCAAATTTTTTTACAGTGACTCCTCCTAAGTCTTTAGGAAGGGGCCCATTTTTAAACAACTGCTATTTCTTTCAAGCGTGTAAGCATCCTTACTTTGCTCACATTTCCCTGTAATGTAAAGATTTCCCCAGAAAATAGTGTCATGGCTTCCTCCATTTTTCATCTCAGTTGGCAAGAAATTTAAATTCATACTCAAACTTCTAAACA